ATTCTTCAAAGATTATCTTGTTGTGTAAAAGATGGAAGATTTGCTTTAATATCACGATTTTGGGGTAAGAACACTAGAACAGTTATATAAGTGTGTATCTCTCTGCGTGTGTTGTTGATTTGCTTGTGTAGTGCACGTCTTGATATATATAAGTGAAATGATAGTGCCTTTACCAAAACTCCCTAATAATTCTCTTGGTTTAAAAGTATCATTCATTTTTTATAATTTTACGCAATATTTAGTGATTTTAATAGACTACAAATATTAATCCAATCAAATTTTGTTTTGTGTTTTTTTTTTTGTAAGAATTATTCTAGCCTTTTTTGTCATCTAGCTCTGGTTTAGTTATAAAAGTAAAGTCTTACCTTCCATTGCATCCAAGAAGAGTATTGGTAAAACACAGTAAATCTGTAAATGTAAGTGAAAGTATAATAAAATGATTATGATGTACGGTCCTCGTTGTTTTACAAATAATATATTGTATGGTCCACCACCCAGCTAATAAAATAACAAAATAAGTACATTGTTATCAATGTTGGGCCAGTTATTAAAGTTTCTACAACATTCCAACGAACTGAAGCATCGTCAGTACTAGTCGAGGTTACGTGTTACAATTAATGTGTAGTAATTGAGAAAAGCTGCTTAATCCAAATTAACCAAGGGGCTAAGCTTTTGCTCAGCCGTAGTTTTGCTTTTATTAATTGGTAATGGTAACGATTGTGAGCTATTTAGTTACATGGTGGAGACTTCACATCGTCTACAAAAATTAGGATAAAAGTCTAAAAGTAAATAAAGCAAACAATTATTCGAGTTATCTTAAACATTTTATTTGACAAAATAGGAGTATAGGACTACTTAAAGCAAAACTCTTTTGTATCTAAACAATCATATCCTTCTTAAAGTTATCTTTAACAAAAAAATATCTTCTTTTTTTTTTTTTGAAACCAGAAAATATCTTTCTTAAAGTTATATATTTCTTCCCTTATTTATTTTTTGTTGCTTTTTGAGCCGAACAACGATAAAGAGGTCCTTTTCATGTCTTGATATGCATTGTATAAGAAACTTCCAAAACTAGACCAATCGTGTTTTTGTTGGGTCCGGTAAAGAAAATATCTAAAAAAAATCAGCATAAGGAAATAATTACTATCTAAAAAAGTGTTGATTAATACTTTGAAATCACGAATTGGTTTATAAAAGTGAAGATGTTTAATTATGCTCTCAAGGGTTAATATTTCAACTTTGTCAAATTGAGTATGTATTCGGTGTCCGGGATTTTTGAATTACTTACTACCCGACAATAAACATGCAACAAAATATTTTGTCCATATTTGAATTCGTTTAAAAGTGATCCATTGGAGTAACAAATTTCCGCAAAAAAAAAAGGGTTATCCGAAACCCTTTTTTTTTAACATTATCAATGTTACGTAAGCGAGAGAATGTTAACAGCATATATATCCGTAGTTACTCCAACAGCAAATGTTACGTAATTACGTGTCTGTGCTAAATGTTAACAGAGCATATCAATGGTTGAATTTACACTAGTTATTAGCTCGGCCACACTAAAAAAAGGGTTCATAAAATATTATACATTATATAAATTCTAAATAATTTTTATTAAAAAGTTGGAAGACTCAGTAAAATACAAGCTATGGTTTTCAGCTTGAAGAGAGATTCTGAATTTTTTTTAAGAGGGTTATGATTTTATATTTTTAAACGTTTGTGTTGTTTATTAATAAATTAAATGGAAATAGTGTTGAGG